ATCTGAAGAGGATAAAAATGCTTATTAAATATAAAAATATTAAGTTTCCTGTGCTAAACTTAAAATAAGTTAATGGTGCTCACAATAAGGAAGCTATTCCTTAAGTACTAATATTTAATTAATAAAGGAAAAATTCTGGTTTTTAAATCAAAGATGGAATTTTAATATCCTCCAGGTAGTATCATCTATTTATAACTCGTCTGTATATAACATTTATTCACAAATATACAAAAGTCCTAGGACAATAAACCCACACTATTAAACTGAAATATAACAAATATTTCTAAAAACTCCTTTTGTTGATTTTTGTATGGCAAAACATCTACTTTTATGTCACTGCAAAAGAACTAAGCACAAAAATATAACATTATAGTTGGATAAACCCTGAGTTCGTTTCTAGGAATATTAAAAAAACGGTTAAGCAATACAACTTCATTTAGTCACAAGTAGAGTCACAGCCCCATACTGACTTTTAATCTGTTATATGTATAGCAATGATACATAAAATGGTGCTTGTGTATATAGCATGTCTTACAAGAAAATGAGTATTTGTGCAGAATCCACTTAAAAGAAGGCTCCAAGTAGACTAGTTCTAATTGAACTTTTTATTCAATTTTGGGATGGGAGGAGTTTACAGAGCATTGTGCCATACTAGAAAAGATAATTTTATCAAGCAGGTGTTATTTGAAGGTACTCATGATTACAGGGGAGTGCTAATAATTATAGAAAACAGTGTTGTAGTGAAACTGTTTCATATTTGTTACAAAACTTTGAGTTAAATATTTATATTCATTTTCCTTCTTTTTTACAAGAGAAAAACGTTCAAGTTTTACCATGGCTAGCCAGCTGCATTTTCTATATTTCAATGGGTAGCTATGAGACAATGTTCTAGACAGAAATGGACATGAGGTATGTTACTCTCCATTTGTATGGTCAGGTGACTAAGTTCTAGATATCAGTGAATGTGAAGCATGTCATGTCCCACTTCCAGAAATTAACATGAACATTCACAGTCCCTTTCCTTCATATCAGGTCTCTACAGAACAAGAATAACTAAAATGAGCACTCTGGACACAGATCATAACCATGTAGAGTACACAGGTAACGTGATCACCCTGGATTCTTCCTGCATTGTGAAAAAGAAAAACTGTTTAGCTTCAAATCACTGTATTCTGGCATCTCTTTGTTAGAATGGCATAGCTTATTCTTTAGCTAATAAGTTTTTCAGGTAACTTGTGGCATAGTCCAAGAGAGTGGGTTGTACTGCTAAACTAAAAGCAGCCACTTTGAATTCTAGCCACTCTGAGGGAGAAAGATGGAATTCGCGTCCTGTGTAATTCACAGCCTCTGAAAACCCACTAGAGGGTCAGCGAAGAGAGTTTCCACGAAAAACAACGAACAAGTCAGTAAGAGGAGAAAAATAAATAAACTGAAAAAATGTATGAACTCATCCTAATCTGTACATTTACTAATTTTATATTTTAAGGTCTGTAGAATTTTCAACAATTAGTTCTCAGACATAAAGAATAAGGTAGGAGAGTTATGACCATGTAATAATTGAAAGGAAGCAGACAATATAACAGAAGCAATGGAAACTTCTGCAGAATGTAAAACAATGGCATAACTACAAGACTATCTTATTTCAGATATGGTAGCGTAGAAAGCAATGTATAACACCCCTTAATTTGACTAGCTGTATTTGCTCACATTTGTCTGACAAAAACATTTCCTTCAGTTGATTATTAAACTAAAAGTACATTTATCAATTTGAAGACTGAGATCCTTACCACTATCGCAGGAAGATAAAATAAAACCACAAGTAGACTTACGTATCATTTTATAAAAGTATATATAAAATGTAAGCAAAGAGCACATTTATGGAAAACAAATTTTAAATAATTATTTGAAACCTTTGTAAATGTTTTAAAATATTTCATGACTAATCATTTTATGTCCAACTTATTTGCAAAAATTATCTTCAAGACTGGTTTCAATAGTGGATAATACTATCTCCCTTTGATTATTCAAAGGTGTGAGGGTCTTTTCATGCTGAAGAGATCTGAAATTTTCTATGCCCTGCACTGTCATAAGACAGTACACTTCATAGAGAGAAAAAAAAAATGACCAATAGAAAAATTATTTACATTTTAAATCACCCATCTTATTTTTATCCTATCCATTCAGCTACGTTTTTTCAGGTTTTGTTGTTGTGTTGTTATGTGCCATTACTCATACCAACCCTAAAGATCCCTAAAACTTGCTCTATCCCGTGTGAACCTCACTGTCTCTGACACACCTACTCCCATTTTCCCAGTCGGTGAAGCGGTCCATCTCATCGAGAAGCTTCCTCTCCTGCACTATTCCTCCACTCTCCAAAACATGATGTCCCTTCTCCAAGGGCTGGTCCCATCTTATAACATACCCAATGTATGTCAGACAAAGCTTCAGAATCCTTGACTCCAAGGAGCAGCCTGGTTTCACACTCTCCAGGAAGAACCCGTTTGTTCTCCTAACAGTCCATGGTATATTCAACACTATTCTCCAGCACCACAGCTCAAAGGTTCTTTCTATCATACTTCGTCAATGTCCAGCTCTCTGATGCATAGCATGCAATTGCAAAGACTATGGCCCAGATCAGGCGCACCTTAGTCTCCAGCCCAATGCAGTTGCTCTTCCGTACTCTGGAGAGGTCCCTAACAGCTGAATTTCCCAAAGCAATTCAACTCTTGATTTCCTGGATGCTGGTACCAAGAGTGGGGCCAAGCAAACTAAAACTGTTAACTATCTCAATCTCTTCATCATCCATAATGATGCTGTCAATTGGCCTAGTGATTGAGAATCTGGTATTTTGAT